CTTTGTTGTTGTGTGGCTAGGAAGAGGACTTGTTGAAGTTCTTGACTTAGATTTGGTATTACTCTAAGGGTGACAGAGAGAGGGTGATCTTTTTGGGTGACTATAGTTGATTTGGAGTTAGAAAGGAGAGTACATTGAGAGGATTGTTTTTTGTATGTCTTGCTTATACGAACTCAATCAATATAGTGGAATCCCTTCAATCTAAGGTTGATTGAAGGAAGATTGGACGTAGGCAATGGGCCGAACCAGTATAAATAGTTTTGTGAATCTCTCATTCCCTACAATTTTACATTGTCTTTGTTCTTGATTAATTGCATTCCAAGAAAACTACAAAGATTTCAAAAAGCTTTTTAAAGAACTAATTTTTCAAAGGGGAAGCCAATTCACCCCACCTCCTAGTTGACAATATTGGCCAAACTTTTTCTACAATTGGTATCAGAGTTGGAAATTCGAACTTTACTCGAATTTTAATCGGTTAGGTTTTCAGTAAACTTTTGGAGAAGGTGCATCTACAAACTGACCACCACTGTTTGCAAGTGAAAATTACCCCTTTTGGAAAATCATAATGAAGATTTTCTTGGAATGAATTGATAAAGGTGTATGAGATGTAGTTATTAATGGTCCATATGAGCCTACTAAAGTAACTGATGGCAAGACAATGGTCAAGAACTTATTAGAATGAAGTTTGGATGAAAGTAGAAGAGCACATTATGATGTGAAAACAAAGAACATCATCTCATCTACACTAACTATTGATGAATTCTTCAAGATATCAACCTACACAACTGCCAAAGAAATGTGAGATGTCCTTGAAGTTACACATGAAGGTACTGATGAAGTTAAGAGGGCTAGGAAAAATTCTTTAATTCAGGAGTATGAAATGTTTTGGATGAAAGCTGGAGAGAACATCTATGATGTTCAGAAACGGTTAACACATATTGTAAATCATCTTGTTGCTCTTGGAAAAACCTTTGACAAGGAAGAGATCAACATCAAGATTCTAAAAAGGTTGAATATAAGTTGGCAACCTAAGGTTACTGCCATTTCAGAATCTAGAGATCTAACAACTATGAATATGGAAACCTTGTTTGGAAGCTAAGGGAGCATGAGCATGAGTTAGGTAGATTGAGGGAAGAAGAAGAAAGTGAACAAAAACACTCTATTTCCCTCAAGACTACAATCAAGAACGGTTCAAGAAAGCATGATTGTGATGTAGACTCAGATTCAGAAATTCTAGAAAAGGAAGTAATGAATATGATGGTAAAGAAATTTTCAAGATTCATGAAATCTAGAAATGCTATTTCTGATTTTGCAGGGAATGCTAGAGGCAACAAAAGGAGTAGAAGGGCTATGACTCCTACATGCTATCAATGTGGCAAAGAAGACCATATCAAACCAGAATGTCCAGTCTTGAAAATGAAACAAAAGATTGATGAAAAGTCAAATCAAGACAAAAGAAGGAACAAGCAAAAGAAAGCATATACAATTTGGTAAGACTGTGATTCAGGTTGCTCTTTAAGTGATGACGATGATAAAATTCTAGAAGAAGAGACAAATCTATGTCTAATGGTTGGTTCTATGAATTTAGAAAGCAATGGCTACAATTTCGAATGAACCAATAGAAGATAGGTACTATCAACTGTTAGATGCTTTTCAAGAACTGCATGTTGAAGCAATGAAGCTACAATACAAGGTTAATCGATTAAATAGTGAAAAAAGGGACTTAGAATACAAAATAAATAACCTTGTTGATGATAATGCTTGTTTGAAAACTGAACTTGATACCGTTTTACAGTCTATTAAGAATGCTAAAACTAAAGTGAAAATTGTTGTTCAAGACTGTATTGATTGCCTAACTCACCTAGAGAGAATTGAATACTTGACAAGTACTTTATCTAAGTTTACTCTAGGAAGATCCAATTTGGAAGTTATGCTTGGATCCCAAAGAAGGGTCATTATAACAAACAAGGAATATGTTACATGGGTAAAAGCAATAAAATAAATTCAAAGAAGTTTTCTTATTTGAGTAAACCTTCATCTATTATTTGATTTTACTGTAACATTATTAGTCATACTGCAAAATCTTGTTATTATAAGAAAGTTGGTGTTCCCAAGGGAAAATTTAAGTGGATTCCCAAGAAACCAACTCAGACCACTAACAGCAAAGACCTCAAGTTCATTTGGGTACCTGCATCAAGACCTTATGACTGTTTTACAGGGAAATGAAAGAAATTGGAGGCACAAAAACTCAAGCAAGGATTAAAGGATGAATCGTATACTACTTGAGGTCTTCAAGTGGTAACAAGATTTAATACTGTCAAATCATGCATCATTCGTTTATTGTAAACATTCATTTTGATGTATGTATTGATACGTCCTTGATTGGAGTGAAATCTTGTACGAAACATATTGTGTGAATTTTAACCAATTATATAAATAATGTAATCAATTAGACTTTTCTCAGTATTTATGTGTTTTTCAAAAACCTGAGATTAGTCGCATTTTAATCGATTAAGGAACTTATATAATCGATTAAGATTTTTTCACTATTTGTTGTGATTGTTGTTTCAGTGTGTTGAATTAAAATAGAGAGCTACTCCCTCCACCACCCCAAGTCCTCCCTACACCTCCTCAAAAAAATTTTAATTACAAATTACCCTTTTTACTCTAACCATTTACCTTTTTTACTTTTATATGAAACACTAATTCCTTACCACTCATTTTCACTCACAGTAGCACCCCCCCCCCAAGTCTCAGTTTCTCTCTTTCTTTCATATCCGTTTTTTCTATACCATTCTCCATATCTAACCCCTCCAACTCTTAGTTTCTATCTTTCTTTCATATATATTTTTTCCTCTACCATTCTCAATATCCATTTCCACTTCATTCTTTCTTTCTTTCTTCTTCATTTTGGTCTCTACTTGTGTGTTGCTGGTGTGGTGGTGAAAAACTAACACGAAAACGATTATTATTCAGAAAAGTCGAAAGAACAAAGGCCTCAGATTTAAGAATTTGAGCATTCATCAAAGACAGAGTCTTAGATGGTACGAACAAATTGATCATGCATTACCAGCCAAATGCAGACGCAGAAACGCAAAAAATAAAGAAAAAAAAATTCAAAAACAATATCAAATTTGCCCAAATTATGCAAGTAGCAAGCGAGGCTGTGAATGGGTGGATTGCAAATTAAATAGGCGAAAATGAAATGAAACCCTAATTTTCCTCTACGAGTGAAACTACAGTTGTATACTCCATCTTTTTGCTTCAGCCCAAATCTTTCAAGAGCTTGTTACTAGGCTTAACGTAGTATGCATTTCATTTTAATGTATTTGAATATACATTTTGTTTGTTGTGCTCGTTGGTTGCCTGTGTGTTTTGTGTGCAGAAGAAGAAGATAATCGTGCAAGCCTCAATGGACAAGGCACATTCATTTCTCCTTTAACGAATGTCGAGATCCGTTCATGGATGTTGACATCCGTTTAAAAATCAACACATTTTCACATCCATTACCGTGCTTGTGAAGCTCGCAGGACCACCTTTAACCACCATCACTAAGAGGAAGCTTTGCCACCACCGAACCTTCTTGCACCACCACTAAGTTTTGTCACTTTTTTTAATCACTGGAGAACCAACAAAGCTTTGCTACCTCCAACCAAATACACCACAATAACTACACACTACACCACCATACTTTTAGTAAACAAAAGTCACAATAGGGGAGAAGAAGATTGGAAGTAAGAAAAGAGTGAGACGGAGGTGGAAGAAACAAATCTCAAAGAGAGAAGAGAGTAAGAGAAAGCTGGGGGTGAGGCTATGCTAGAGTGAAAGTGAGAAATGATTTAGGATTTGGTAAATAAATAAGGTTAAAAGTAAAATAATTAAAAATTAAAGGGTAATTTATCATTAAAAATTTTGTTAGGAGGTGAAGGGAGCAAAGGTGATGGTGGAGGGAACAACGCCCATTAAAATAAGCAGTTAAGCTATTTGGGTAATCGATTAAATCTAGAAGTTTGTGTTGTTATGTTTAAAGTTTTGGATTTCCCTCTAAACTTAATCCATTAAGGAAAAATCCTAATATGTTAAATTGTTCATCAAACTTTCACCCTGAATCACTCTCCTACTCTATCTCAAAGTCACTTTGCTTCAAGTCATCCTTTATATTCATTGCAAATGGCTTCTTCATCTCAGCGTAAATGCATCAAAACTGTTGGCCGAAAATCATGAGCCTCAAATCTTGAAGGGTGGATAGTGAAGAAGAAGCCCAAAAAGCTTTTATTGACCACTAGAAGATGAGGAAAATCATTCCTCATAAATACGCTATCAAATTTCTTCAGAAGGGAAAGTTTTACATTTCGAGAATGGCTTGAAAGACAAGGATTGAAGTCCTTCGTGAAAATGACAGAACCATGGTATAAGTTTCACTTTATAAGTTTTTTTTTAAAATTCTAAATTATAAGAACTCAGATTTCATAGTATCAACTTCATCTCATTTTATGTTTTGTGTATGACATTAATGTCTTTTCAAATTGAAAGTTATTGGTCCTTCTATTGAACTTTATATCCTCTTGAACATTAACCCATACAAAGAAAAAATATAATGCAATCTCTTGAAAATTATTATTAATATAATTATTTAAAATATAACTGATTACAATTTCTTAGTAATAAAGATTAATGAATGCAATACTGAACATAATAGTTGACTATAATTCCTCCATGATCTCAATTTAGGCAACAATAAATTTAAAAATAACATTTATAAATTGTAATCAATAAATCATTTAAAACACAATAATTGCAATCCATCTTTCTACAATGACGTATAACATTTAGTTATAATTAGGTTGAAATAATTCTTTTATTAGAAGTGCAAACTATTAGAATTCAGTCAACGTAATAAAAATAATATTTTTAGCAATAATATAATAATCATTTATAACTGATTTTTTTTTCTGTTGATTCATACAATGCAATTATCCTCCAATCTTTCTTGAGTGCTAATGGCTATAAAGAGGCAATCGCACAAGGTGATCCAATAGACACTCATATTTTATTTGATAGATAGAAGGATCTGCATAAGAAATGATCAAGATATTACTCTTTGTATTGTGGTTCGTAAATAGTCATGATAGTAATAGAGTTCATGCTATTCACATAGATGATTTGGAGATAGAAACACAATTAAAAATTATTAACAAACCCTCTGTTAAAAGCATTCAAGTGCGTATTCTTCTTCTGTTCCATTCTATTTTACTTTAGGTATGATTAATTTTTTTATATATTATCTATTTTGAATTTTATAGACAAAGTTTGGATATATTGTTGATTGCGTTGATATTCACAAGCAACCAGCATTTGATCATCCTTTATTAAAAAATCATAAATTACAGGTACATTATTTTTTCTTAATATTTTTAAATGAGATTAACTTTTAGTCAATTATACTTATAATATTTGTTTTATTTATTTACAGAGAATGCCTAGTTATAAGTCATTTGAAAAGATAAATACGAAAGATTCATCGAATGAATTTATATTTGGACTTCAAAAAGAAAAATGTCCAAACGGAACTGTTCCCATTCGAAGAACAACAAAAGATGAACTCATTCAGGGAAAATTATCATTTTATAATCAAAACATGTTTGAAAGTGTTCCCGGTGTTCATGTAAGTTTTTCTCAGATTTTGTAATTTTATTTCTATGGAATGCATGTCTCATTCTTTGTTTTTATTTGAATCATCATTGAATTCAATTTTGTAGGCTGCAGAAATATATGTTACACCAGATTTCAGTCCTTTTTATAAAGTTAAGGGAACAAACAGCATTTATAATCCAAGACTCAGGACCAAGGTTCAAGAAAGTCTTGCTCAAGTATTTGTTGCGAATGGAGGCAATAACAAAATTTCTTTGGGGTGGCACGTGAGTTTTAATTGAAATAATTATTATTAAGTTAAATTAATATATTTTTCTTTTTTAAAAAATATTGTATTTTATCCCTAAACTAAATTGTAAAGTGTTTCACTTTTATATTTTACGAAAGTCATATAAAACATCTCTTCAACGCATTACATATAACATGTGAATGTTATATATTATACATATTTTACATGTTGTGAAAATTGATGTTTTACGTAACTTTCATAAAATAAAAAGACTAAATATTTTATAATTTAATTTAGAGATTAAATACAATTTTTAACAATATTTAAAGAATAAAAATATATTTAGCTCATTATTACATTTATTGAGGTTTTTTTATACTTATCATTTAATCTGTGTTAAAGGTGGCTCCACAAATATACGGTGGTAACAGTGCAACTTATTTCTACTCACTATGGACAGTAAGAAGAAGAGACTTGTTTATAATCTTTACTTTCTTTTTTTTCTAGTAAAAAGATCCTCACTAACCTTATAAAATGTTGCAGACAGATAATTTCGACAAGACGGGATGTTACAATCTCCAATGCCCAGGTTTTGTCCAAACGCATCCGTATATGTTCCTTGGTTCACGCGTGGGCAAAGTATCTATCTACGGAGGGCGTTCCATTGAGACTAATTTTACTATTACTTTGGTGACGTCGATGTCTATACAACTTCACAATCAACTGTATACAACTTTGAGTGTGAAAATTAAGAATAATGTTATGTCATTGACAAAAAAGTATATATATACATTTTCAGGACCGAGAAACTCAAAATTGGTGGCTGAATCTTTTTGGGCATGATGTTGGATATTATCCAGGGAGATTATTCTCAAACCTGACCTCGGCAGAGAGAGTGGGGTGGGGTGGGAGAACATTTACTCCTCCTAACACTATCAGTCCTCAAATGGGATCTGGTTATTTTCCAGATAACAACTTTGTTCATGCTTGTTACTTTATATATATCTCCATTCAAGATCGAGGAAGAACAGATTTTGGACCTGAAAAACACATGACAGAGGCTTTTGTCGACGACCCTGATTGTTTTAATGCCGAACACTATGGAGATGAAGGAGGAAATGTCGGAAATACAATCCAATTTGGAGGACCCGGTGGCCAATGTGGTAATTGAATCAACACAGCATTTGTATATCCGTCCATCATTAACTTATGAAATCTTCAACCTTGCTTTTGCTTCTAAACTTTAGTTATTTGTTTCCTCCCTGATTTTGTAATTCTATACTTTTCCACGAAAATATAGTGTTAAAATATAATGAATGTTTTTTCTATGAAATTTCGACTTGTGATTATGTATGCAAAGAAGGCACAAAAATGATACTTTGAAATATCAGCAGACATGGTGAAGCTTTATGAATGAATAATTCATTTTATGTTAATTTATTTTATCAATAGTGAGCCTAATGATTTTATATAATTGGTAATCATGATCGAAATATTATATATCTAACCATCCTCACCTGTTTATATAGATGAAAAGGACATTATAAAAATAGGAGAACCAACTTATAATGTAGTTAGCAATAGACGGCCGGAACAATATAGAAGGTTGACCACTCAAAAGGGACGACAACAAACATTACAATATTAATAGATTGTAATGGTAGAATATAGGCGTAAGTTGGGAACAATAAATTAGGGATAAACAAATTAATTGAACTTGCAGTGAATAAAAAAATAATTCATTTAAATTAAAGTAATCACAGGAGAAACAACAGCGATTATTTTCACCCATAAGCAGCGGTTTCTGAACCGAGACATATACAAGCGAGATAAAAAGTCTAACATTTTATGTCTCAGTTCAAAGGTAACCAAAGTAGTAGGGTTTTTGTTTTTTTTTTTTATTTTTTTTTTCGAACGACTTTACGTCTCGGTTCCTGTTGAACCGAGGCAGTATGTCGGCCTCTACTTCCTTGGTTGGGACCTGAACCGAGGCAGTATGTCGGCCTCTACTGCCTCGGTTGGGACCTGAACCGAGGCAGTATGTCGGCCTCTACTGCCTCGGTTGGGACCTGAACCGAGGCAATAGAGTGTTTTTTATTTTTTATTTTTTTGCTTTTTTGCCAGACTTTCTGCCTCGGTTGTGACCTTAATCGATACCATAGGGGGACTTTCTGTCTCGGTTATGGTCACAACTGAGGCGTATTCCCTTGTTTTTTTAAGAACGTGTCTATTTTTGTAACATTCTCAACTGCAGAAACAAACATGCATATATTTTTATATTCAAAATAGTTCAAAACAATCCAGAAACATATATTTTCAATAAAAATTATATTAAAACATAAATGCATTCAATGTAATCATAAATCAACTTCTTAGAAGCATAAATCAATTCAATGTAATCATAAATCAACTTTGAAGCATAAATAAATCCAATGTACAAAGTTAAACTAATAGTAATGTACAAAAACATAAAACAACTTAGAAACATAAACTTAGAACTTACTATATCCTAATATCTACTACTTACTATTATATAGTTGAATTAGATATTTAGTCAATGCTTTCCTCACGAGTTTAAGTAACTTCTTTGGAATTGGAGTATTGAATCTCTGCATAAAACACAATGATTTTAATTAGTGTATATGAAATCTAAACTATAGAGAAAATAAAATTCAAACCTAAATATTACTGTTTTCCATCCATTGGTGTAATGTGCACGAATAGTGGTCATCATTTAATACATGACGTATTAACCACACTCATATGACCCGTTTTGTCTATTACACTACAATATATCATCATAATTATAAAATGTTAAGTTCCATCATTGGAATGGTACAAAATGTAATAAAGTATGGACTAAAATATCAAGCCTTAAGGGTCATCCATGCAAGCTTTTTAATTATAGCAGTAGATCTCCCAGACAACATCATATGTGCTGCAAGGGAACTATTAAAAAAAATTGCTTTATCATACATTTATATAACAAAGAAAGTTGAAATATTGAGGTTCTTACCAATCTACTACTTGTCCAAGAGGGTTGGGAGGATACTTGTGCAATGAACAAAACCAAACAACAATGTTCTCTGGTATGGAGATCACAGGTAACTGCCAATGATGCCTGAAATTAGTAATAACTTAATTGTCATATACCAAAATTCATGAATGAAACTTTAAAGTTAACAAACTTCACTTACGCAAGTATATAAGGGAGAAAATATATGTCTTTCCCCATTGCAAAGCAGGTGGTGATGTATGCTTGGATTTCATCAAATTTATTTCTTTCATGAGTCATATAAGGGTCAATGAACCCATATACATCATTGAACCCCATCTTGTTACTGACACCAAACATATACCTGAAATGAAGAAATGATATGATATAAACAACTTGATAAATCAATTTTATATAAAAAAGTTCTCATAAACTTACATCATCCACAACTGAATGAGTGTAATATTAATTTCTTCTCTCCCTTATGCAAGATCCCTGACATCTTGTTGATGTAAGTATAATGGGATCTTAGCATCTCTTCCAAATGTAGTTGAATCTCATGGTACAATCATTGGCGCAACTACAATGATGTTAACAAGCTCGTCTAACGCACCAAGAGGGTCGTGCTCAGATAAACGAGTCTTCTTCGGTGTAGGACTTCCCTTTTGACCTGTCTACTGTTACATGAAAAAATTGTTATGTTTTGACGTCAATAAGAAGTAAATATTAAAATTGAGGAGTATATATAGTAGGAGTGTCTACCGGGGGGTCAGATACAACACCAACCAAATGTCTAGGCTAGGCGGCGAAGGACTGAAATGTCTATGCCACAGCGAAAAACTCCTCTGTAGGCACAGGAAGAAGGGCATCTGGTATGACAACTTCATCCACCGTGACCTTGACCTCATCTTCTGCTAGCTCTACACCATGCACTATAATGGCTACCTCATAGACTATGCCACGAGCCACTAGCATGGTCTTAGTAGGAGAAAGAATATATAGCTGATATGAACAAGTGTCGTCCATGTCGTCCATGTCGTCCCTAGTGCACCGACATCTAAGCAACTTCCTTTGTCGCTTCTACCTGTCAAATTAAATGTTAGGTTATACAAAAAGTAAATTAATAAACAAAAATGATTATTAAGTTTACCTATAGGGGACACATGTTCCGCTACAAGATATGGCGCAGGTCGGTTGCCATAATGCTCAAACTGCTGTTGAAACTGGCACGCAACCATTTCAGCAACTTCATCATACAACTCTGCCCGGGCCTTCTTTGTGATCTCTTGCGTGATCTATTTTCTGATGTCCTCCTTCAGCTTTTGTTCATACTCTTTAGTTAATCCATATGAAGATGGATGTGAGGAAGACCCAAAGAACTGTCATATGCCTATGCTAGTCCCAATAGCACGCACCCATCCTGGGTGCTCAGGTCATCCAATAGCTGTAGCAAGAATATCCTGACGACCTTTTTCTGTGAATCAACCTTGGGAGCGCTGCTCAACCAAGGAGTCTTGTAACATAATAAAACTTCATAATTATTTGAAAGATCTATGTAATATATATAACAAATATGAGAAATGACATCTTACAATTCTTTCAGATATCTCTCTAGCAGATTCGAAAGTGTAGGACCCCAATAATCTTATACAGGCTAACTTCCACTTCTTTTGTTGAGATGGTGGTGAAGGAGGACGAGGAGGGTCACCACCCTCAGAAAGTGAAAGTCTACTATTTGACTTCTGCTTCATTATTTTTTTCCTCAAGCTTCCTGTATCCACCACGAGATAATACATGTGGATTTTTATTCTGAGCACTTATACCCTGTGTTTTTGACCTTGTTTGTTGTGAAAAAATGAAACAATTGTTATGATATAAAATTATGAATGATGAATTGAATGATTTTTACCTACACTTACCTGCCACGTCTCGGATGAACGAAGTTGTACAAACTGACGCCATGTTTCTTCGTTAATTGTAGAATATTTAGAACATGGAGTTTCATTTTTTTTGGTCCAAATATATATATTTGGACGTCAATTTTGTCTTAAACTCCCAAAATCTTTCTGCAATTGCAAATAAACACCTACTCCTTAGGCTAGCGACATTTGGGATATCAAATGTCATTTGTAATAAAGAAAGTAATAACCTTATATCAATACAAATTTATCAATATAATTAAACTAGAATTTGGAGCAATATTGATTAACTTACCAATAGATCTTGCCAGATAAGATTCTGATCAGCATCAGATACATGGTCAAGGGATGGAGTAAGTATAGAGATACAATCACGTGCTATTACTCCAAGGGAAGACCTAAATACATCTGAATTTGGTCCAGGTGCTACTCTAGTGACCACGTCAATAATGATAGGTGTCCTCTCACCTGCATTTCTTCTAAGTATAAGTTGTCTTAAGCTCGTCCCTCCTCTATTGGGTCTAAAAGTGGGGACTTCATCCCCTAAAAAATGTGGTGCCTCAGTCATATATCTGTCACAATAAATAAGATGAAAGATTAATAAAAGACTTATAAAATAACATATATTTTTTAACAAAAGCCATATATTTTTACACAAATATGAAATTCATACATAATCATATGGATTGGTCATATGTATATTCCCTCATTGTGATCTTCCCGAATTGCATATACATCATCAACTAGAGGGTCGTCATCCAAATTTATTGTTGTTTTAAATGGATGGTTGATGGCAATATGAAGATTACTTAGATTCTCTTCTTTATCTTCAATTTGTCTTTTTTCTTGAAGAGCGACATACCAATGGTCAGACGCAGGATCTTTGACATAAAAAACCTGACTTGCTTGATATGCCATGATAAAATGTTCGTCTCCATAACCAACCTTTTGAAAATAAACTAGTGTCATACTAGATTCATCTATTTTGACACCACTCTTATTGTCAACCCACTTACATTTGAAGAGTGCAATAGAAAACTTAGTGTAATCAACCTCCCATATCTCTTGTATTCTACCATAATATCTCATTGATCCAACCATAGGATTTTGATCTTTGGATGTGGAAAATGATAGCGACTCAACTTCTAGACTCACGCCACTATTTTGTATTGTGCTTTTATCATCCAAAATCTTTGTATAGAATGTGCAATTATTAATTTTATAGTCTATACAACATACAACATCAAAATATAAAAA